TGGCCCGAAATTGTCTTCCTTAGATGATGCGGCCCATATTGTGCCTGTATGTCCGTGTGTTATAATCGTAAATCTTCGGGAAGTGTGTCTCCAATGCTAAAACAACCAGTCTTCTTCTAACATCGGGAACTATTGCCCTCATTTCTCATTTTGTTTATTTATATTACATCAATAAAATTATCATTATTATCATCAATTCCATCAACAATTTTACGTAATTCTTTTAATTATTCTCTTTCAATAATTTTTGCCCAATTCTCATTCCAAATTCTAATAAATATTGAATTAGCCATAAGTAAAGAACAATTTTGAAGTTTTCCATAGAATTTCACCATAATTTTCATGTTTACAAATTACTATAATTTATGCAAATTTTGGCATAAAATTATCATACTTTGATAAGCAATAATGTTTATTGAAGTTTAACATTTTATTGTCCATCAAACTCTAATTTCATTTCTTTTTCGCCTTTGCATCAATTAATGATCAGTTGGAATGATTTATTATCATAAATATAGCAATGTCAACTACTGAAATACTATCAGTCAGAAGTATTCTATCAGTACTTTAGATGGAAATGCGATTGTAAATTGATACAATCGTGCAATACTTCTTTCATATTAGTAAATTATTCAGCAATCTTATATTAGACTAAATATTTCATCTCTTATTTGTCAACTGCCATATTTCACTACCTTTTCTTTTCTTTTTTGTTTCTTTAAAGGAAACTTTTGCTGGTTTTACACCTGTTTTTCTTATTTTACCTTTAATGAATCGCAGAATTTCATTTTGTTTTTTTAGGCCTGAACTTGTTCTGATGTACTCTTTGTCCTATAACTTTTGGTTTTTATATTATGTTAACTTTCAATGTCGAGTTCAAAATTTTTCAGTAATATCCGGTTCAATAAAACAGGAAAGTGCCTTCCTTAATAAATTAATTTTTCTCTTTTGAATTAATAGCATATAAATTAATAGTAACATAAAAAAGTGAGGTATCCGAATTAATATTTATTGCTGAACAAATACTTTAATTTCAAATGTCATAAAGTTATGATTAAAAGATAGATTAAAAAAATAGCGCTAATAAATGTCAAGTTTCAAATTTTTTCTTTGATAATTTTGATATTATTTGAATTTTGATACTTTTTCTTTGCACCATTAATTTTACTACTAGTTTTAATTTTAATACTGGAATAAAAATTAAAAGTTTTCATTATATTCAAACTTACTTGCAATTTCAATTAGTTTAAAACTTATTCGAAATTTTAGCGAGATTATCTGCAATTGTAGGACATAGTAGAATATGAAATGAACAGGATGACTTTTAACAAAGATTCTAAATGACATATCAAATTATTATTGTCTTTTCTACATTGTCATGATACTATTGCAAATAAAACGATGTATTAATGAAGAAAAGTAATGATTAAAATAAAAAAAAAAATAATACAAAAGATATTGTTTTATAATAAAACTATTACTTAAAAAGTTTTGATAATATTTTCAAAAAGATTTAAAAGAAATACGGCCATTATTCGATTTACTATACAAGTGATATGATAATGATATGTTGAAAACAATTGACAGTAAAGTGAACAATAACCCGAATATCAATGCTTTTTATAAAATGCTAGCAATTGATGTGTGAAATTTTTAGTTCATTCCAACACAAAGCGTTCTTTTCCACAAACAACAAACAATAAATAGGCGGAAGAAGAATAGAAAAAAAGCTGAGAAAAACTTTATTCCTTCAGAATGAAATAATTTCATATTTTTGAACACAATTTATTTCATCTTTCAATCATTATTTAGCTGTGAGATTATTTGCTTTTGTTGATAATGCAATCATTATTTTGTTTAAATGATAACAACGATAATTATGCAAATTTTCGAAATACAACGAATTTTTTGCTAAAAAATATTTCGCTCTAATAATAATTGGAGAACGTAATTAGCATTTGAAACGATGCACAAAGATCATCCTAAGGATATTATGTATAGCCTTTCAAAAAAAAAAAACAAAAAACAAAAAAAAACAAAAAAAAGCTCAGCCATTAATTCGAATACAATCAAATAAGCATATTATTCGAAATATCATCATAATTCTCTTCGCAATTTAATGCGTCTTTCGAAAATACAGTAAGACAATGAAACATTATTGCTTGTAAGCAAAATCGGTGATAAGCATTACTGATAAGCATCAATGGTAAAGTAGGACATTAAAATTATAACTGTTCGATCTTGAATATGATCGAGAATTAGGAGGAAACAAATGAAAATGATAACATATGTATCTTCATCATATTAGGAATTGAAATGGATCAAAAAATTAATGGAAATTTAATTACTTATAAGTAAGCAAGAAAAGCAGTGAAAATGAGCTTTTGAAGTTTGTCGCATGTTGTACGAGAATTAGTAAGATTCTTGGACGAATTATTGAAAATTTCAATAATTTGATTACAGAATAAAGTTTGTAGTGAAATTTACAATTTAAATTCATCAAATAACAAACATTTTCAGCTGTAACAATTGTAGTTTTAGCTTTTTTTTTCACTTGTATTCTCTTACATTTCCATTTAATTTAATTGACATTGAAATAGAAATTTCACAATTCCCAATTTCTCACAGTTACCGTATGCAACACATGCAGGAACGATCGCCAAACGATTATCCATGAAAAGGATGTGGAAAGAATGAATGAATGAGTGAATACGCGTACCAATATAACATGTCATTTTGAAAAGTCAAAGTTACAGTAATTGATTTACTGGACGATTGGGCAACTGATGTCAAACCAAACTGAAGGACAGACAGAAACAATGTCGTCTGAGTAGCAGCAATTGATTCCATTTTTGGAGGTCATCGCTGGACAATTATTCAGAAATATATATACTGACATACACACACACACACACACACACACACATATATATACATTTACCGACAACAAAATAGTATGTATATTCGCAGACGCTGACATACCCATATGGAAGGAAATTGGAAAACCGGAGGAAAGCGCAGGTAAAGTTAATAATATTGATGTTGTTGACTGCCCATGGCATTTTAACTTCTTCGTTTCATTTCTTTCGGAAAGGAAGATCAATATGTGATGTGATATGATCAATATATGATATGATACTACTGATATAATAAATATTGGTCGGAATGACCCGCTTGACTATAGCAAATCAGTTAATAATGTTTAAGAAATTTAAGAGGTTAATCATTTGATAATGTGATCAGTAGAGGAAGTGAAGGAGACGGTTTTGTAGCTGGCTTTATGAATCGTTTTCTGGAACATATTTTAACAGTGTTAGCATATCCGGTATACCGTTATTTCAACATCGAGAAATACTCTGCAATGAAATGATTTTGTGAGATGGAGAAATGATGTTAAATAAGAGAAAAAAAAGCTAAATTTCCAAGGATGGAATTGATTTTCTCATTTTTAAACTTATCTCAAATATTTTCACATTCAAATCCAATAGCGCACTATTCAGTCAATTTACCTCCTATAAACATTTTACCTTTTTAATTAATAGTGGAAGAGGAATTTTTAAACCTGTTATCCCAACATTAGCAAAAAATCTCCATGACATTTAATCCAGAAGAACCTGTCACAGCAACTACAAAACTTCAGTTTTGCAAAATGCTAGTTCTTTATATATCTCAATGATAAACAGATCAATATCCTGCTAATCATTGAAATCTATGATACTATAATTGAATCATTTACTTACAGTATCATACTAATTGCTGCTTCTTTTTTTTACCAAAGTTATATTACTGTAAAATGTAAAATTTTTCAAATCGATCGTAAATTAGAAATACAATGTGAATAGTCAGGGAATTAATATGTAGCATATATATGGCCAAACAAGAAGTACAATCATTTGAACTATTCAAATTTTCATAGTGTCACATTTTTTTAGCCACTTAAAACTAGAATAAATTCAACATATATGTATATGATAATGTTTTGAAAATTCAACGCAAATTCGATGCAACCTCAACAATTTATTTATTGATTAAGTTAATTTGCTTAATTATCCTGTCCAACCATAACATTTGAGTATTGGAGTCATTTAGTAATTAATTACAAATCCAGTACTTCTGTGAATTTTTAAATCTTATAAACTTTATTGATATCTATCACTGGAATGTTGCATGATTGATGAGATTTTCCGGAATAGAGCTTAAATCTTATTTTATTTTTGGTAATGGAAGATTTCTGGATGAAGAATATCCGTCATACTTCCATTGATTTCATATTTTATTCATGAAAATATGACCACATTTCGTACTTGCAAACATTTGAATTAACAATTATACCTTCAAAAGTATATTTGCAGTGCAAATAAATTAATTTATACTTCAAAATTAGAAATATTTCTTGCTGAAAAGAATTTTTCAGCTTTCTATAATTTTTTATATGCTGCAAAATATTGCAACAGCTGTTGAAAATTCTGGCAACCAAGAAAAAAAGGAAAGGAAAGGGGAAAAAAAAGGAAGAAGGGAAAAGAGAGTAGTAGATGCGGAATGTATCGAACATTATTCGATTTTTTCTTTTTCTTTTTTTTTTTTGCCGGAACAGAAGAAAAGAACAGAATAGAAAACAGGTATGAGAAAGGGAAAAAAAAAAGCACTGAAGAAATTATTATCCTTTCACAGAAATGGTTTGTAATAATTCATGAAAATTTATGAGGAGCAAGTTTGAAACAGTCCATGAAAATGACAACTGGTCGGTTTTCTTTGCGCTTCCCTTTCAATGCATGGAAATGAATACTTCCTTTTTCACTGGTAAGTTAGCTTCTTTTATTGTCCTTACTTCAATATTGATTTGCTAAACTTGAAAACAATCATTATTCTGAATTATTGAACAATAAAATTTTTTTTTTTGCATATAATGCGAAAAATTCTAAAGTATTTTCAATATATACAAAATATTATATCTCAAAGGTATGCGACATATGCAACATTTCATTGACAAAAAGTGTCAATCATTTCCTGATATTATCTGCCAAAAATGTAATCATATGACCAAAAAAGCTAAAAAAAAAATAAAAAAACAAAAGGCAAATGTGCAAATAAAGTGATGCAAAATATGTAGACATTGATTACTAGACTCATTATCACGACCAAATCAGTCCTTGGCTACTATAAAATAATCAATAGCCTGATTTCGTAATATTTATCAAAAGATGAATTACTGTGGTAAAAAAAAGAAGGAGTTAAAAAAAGAAGAAAGAAACAGGATATTTCCAATCATCTGCTGATGTTTGAGTGCAGTTGTGTGATTAAAGAAGGAATTCAGATCAGAATCTTGTTGGTATTTCATGAATATTTAAAATTTTTTGAATTTCAAAATATCGAACTATAAATAATTCGATCAGCCAATCTTCTGATAAAGAGATATCCTATCACTTCGTGATAAACTTTGTCTTGTTGGTTAATCTCAAACAAGAAATTTGACCATTTGTATGAAAAAATATTGCTGAAATTCTCCAAAATTAAAATTTATTTCGTTTCCTTTTTTCTTTTTGAATTATAAGTCATTTTTCGATACATCCGTCCAGACATTGAAATGGGATCAATTTAAAAACTTTCCCTATGCATCTTTTAAAATGTCACAAAATGAACGGAAAAAAAAAGTCTATGTTAAGATAGAAAGTTCAATCCGTCAAAATATTGCGACAGAAGAATCAAAACAACGGAACAAATGGACATGCCAAGAAGACCGCTGTAGCAACAACTGCTTTAGTAACCAAACTGATGGGTCCTTTGATGTATAACCGATCCGAGAGTCAACTCCATTAAGCATTGATTCTTTCGGTAAATCGACTGATTCTTCGTAGGGAGAAAAGGATGGGAAGGAGAAGAGAATCTTTATCATGTTTTAATTAAAAAGTCTTATTCAAATTATCGGATGACTCATTCACAGGTGATATGCATCGATGGACATTATCAGAATTATAATCTGTCAAACAAATCAGCTAGAATTTCAAGCAATAAAAGATTTATCATTAACTGAAAATTATTTTTTGAGAAAAAATTTGCATAATGGAAATAGTAAACAAAACAAATTATTGAAATGGAAAAATACATTCATTGAAAACAATCTTTCAATTTCAGCTTAACATTGAAATGAAAAAAATGAAAAAATTTTAATTGAAAGATGACCACGGATGACCGCAACATATTACAACACATATTTATTGATGTGAATGTGATTTATGCAAATTTAAAGCGTATATAAAAATAATATTTGATAAATTGGAAAAAAATCTGGGGAAAAGATTACTAAAGAAAATCTCATACATATGATTGAAAAACAATTGTTGTGGTCATCATAAACTTTGCAGGACTAATTAAAGAAGATTTTATTTGGCAAAAGCAAGCATTATTTTTGCATAGCTTTAATTCATTCATTTATCAACTATGGAATAAGATGGAATAGTTTGTGTGATAGCAGTAATTAATATCGTGATCATTGATCGAAAGCTTAACGACACAATCTTTATAAAGCAGAAATCTCGGGTTATTCTGGTATTTTATATATTGTACAATTAATATCATATGTTGAAGATTGAAACAAAAAATATGCGCAATTAGTTTCTCAAGTTGAAAGAACTTTACGATTATTACATTGATAATTTAAAAATGCACCGAAAGTATTAAATTAATTTACAATGCATCGAAAAGATTCAATTTCAGTTGATGAGAAAATGATACTTTAAATATTATAGCTTAAAAATACTTCAAGCATTGAATGAATTGTAAATTTATGGACCGGAAAACATTAAGCAACTCGTCAATTAGTTCCACTTAGTTTTAGAAGATAATTAACAAAACGAATGTTAGAATATTGACAAATGATATTCTCTTCAAATAATTGCAATTTATAAAAGTAAACTTTGTACTTAAAAAGGTTAAATATAAATTTTAAAGAAAGGAAAGTATGGCAAATGAATGAATTGAAATGATTCAATATTTGGAACTACAATTATAATTCGATTTTTCAAAATCATTTTGTTAAAAAAGGGAAACCTGGTTGTTGGCATAATTTAATAGTTTCCTAACAATTTTTATACGATAAAAATGAACATATCGATCAATTTCGTCAAATGTCATCACAGCTATTTGTTAAATTTAAATTCCATTTGACACAAAAATGCCATATGATCGATCATTTATACCAATTTCCTAGTTTCAGCCCTCGATAGTAATTTTGATTAGCTAACATTTAAATTTATTGCTTATTTGCCATGCAAGATGACATAAGTGTTTTATTTCAGCTCTAAGAAGTGAGAAGTCTTAATGTCTGGTCATAAAGTTATTTGAGCAATGGACGAAAAGTTTATTCCATCCATTGGTCATTCTGTTGATAATTTCAAACCATAATTTCTATAATTTGTGTAGTAGCTAATTGATATATTGAACTTTCTTTTTTCAAAACTTTTCAAAGTTCAAAGTTCATTTATTTCTCCACTAAATCCGCCTAATTATTCTGCAACCGCCATTCTTAACTTATTCTTCTGCAGGTTTTTTTTTAATCGTTCAACAATTTAATTTTTTTTGACGATTTAATTTAATTTTTCCAAATTTAATTGTTTTTGAGATTCTGATTTTGAGTGTTTATTAATAAATTTTCTTTTTTTAAATTCATCACAAATTATTTCGAATTTATTAAAAAATTTTTACATTTTACAAATAGCCAATGCTACAATATGGTTACAACCGAAATTTTTCTAAGAAAATTTATCCAAAGGAAGGTTGGAAACGAAAAATTATGGGAAACATTTTTACATTCACTTTTATTCATCATCATTTTGAAAAGTAGAAAAACCGCCATTCAAATTGATTTTCAACAACATGAAACTTGAAATAAAATAATATAATTTCAGGTATTGTGTGATATTTAATCAGCTAAAGTACATTGAGTCATTTTAGAAGCAAAAAAATGATTTTGACTTAAAATGACAAAGTATTTCATTTGAGGAAACAATGAAACAACAAAGGGTGATCATTTTCATTTTTCCAAATATCACTTATAAGACATAATAAACATTTGCAAGTAAATAGAATGCAAAAATTTATTCATGCAATTTACTGAAAACAATTTTTCAATTTCAAGAAATCAAAATATGAGAAATAAGAAACTAAAATTTTTATTAAACGATATTTATTCAATTAGAAATTTTGAAATTCGATAAATGAATCAAATATCTAAAGATTGCATAAAAACAAATTTAATGGATGACTACTTTGAATAAATTATTGACGAAAAATAAGGACTGTGATTAAAATGTCATCTTGAGGTTTTGGAGGAAAAAAAATTTGTCACAAAAATGATCATTGCTTAGACACAATTATTGTTTATTTATTCAATAACTAAATAGTCTCAAATGATGAAGATTTTATTCAAAACAAGTCTGCCACTAATCCGTTTACTCTACTATTTTATTTATTCAATAGGAATTATAATCAAAATCATATGGGTTAACAGATAGTTTATCGAAATTGTATGACAATATTTGGAAATAATAGATGGCTAGTAAAAGATCGAAACAAATTCATCTTTTTCAAGAATGTAAACATTATCGAATCACTACCCTGAAATTATCACTTATCAGTTAATGCTATTCAGCTATCATAAGAATTCTCTCAGAAACTCATCGTTCGTTTTTCTCCTTCAATTTATGTTCATCATTTTGAACGCAGGATTACGATAACAACCATTCAATCTATTGGATTTAGTATATCGTGTCTTTCATCATTTTCCTTCATAATTGTTACTCTGTTGATTCTTTCATATAATATGGTCTCTCATAACAAAGTCAATGATTGGCCAACAATCATGACTAATCATTATAATTATAAACAAGTAATATCACATTTACTCCCATAATTTCATTTATTAATCATTGATTTTAATTTTCAAACTATCAAATTTGCATATTATATATCGCCATTATGGATAATCCGAAGAGTATGCAATATTCCTGAAACAAATAATTTCATAAAAATAAAATAGCAATTAGTAATTAATATGCGGCGTTCAATAATGTCTCTAATAATTAAACAATCAGTAATTGATTAAAAAGTGAAATGTACAGTAATTTAGAAATGAATTGTCATAAAACATATCAGAAGTTAAACAAATGAAAAGTACAACAATGATGTAACATTGCACAATACATTTCTGATCCTAATTCTAATTGATTTAAGTAAAGCATTCGAGTAAATCAATATTACTATAGATCACATAGATTTTCGTTTTTACACCAATTCTTAACATTTGATATAATTCTCGAAGTAATTAAAATGTATGACTATACGAAATACTGAATTATCATAATTATCACTTAAGCACTATAAGCTATCATATCACATGTTGAAAATATTGAAGTACGTCAAATTGGAGATGTTGACATGTCCAAATATAATCGGAAACATCTGCAATTGACATATGATGTAACGGACAAATGAACAAATGTTTCACTTTAAGGTGCAATATAGAAGTTCACACACTTTTTCGATCATAGAAATAAAAGTTTAAACTGTAACAAATTACTAAAATTTATTGGAAATGAATCGACTCGAGCGATACATAAAATTAATCCTTTTACTAATTAAAGAGAGTAATTAATTGGCATGCAAAAAACATAGCACCAAAAATTATTTTCGAATCAAATAAAAAGCATCCGCTTTTTTTTTCTTCAAAACTTAGAAATAGCCGGTAGAAATGTCGTCAAATTTTACTTTTCTCTTTCTCGTCCTTTCGGTTCTTCGCCAAGCGTTAATTGTTGTAAGTAAATGAAGAAAACTTTTCTGAGCATATATTAATTTGTAATTGTATTCTTTTTCATCAGCAAACTTTTACTAATATTATTAATTAAATTCTTCTTTTGCAAGCTATAAAGTCTATTATTTTCTCTTTCCTTTCCCATTATTACTTAATTCTTTTGAATTTTAAAAAATGATCAGAGATGATTAGCTGATCAAATATACACTGCTATCACGTGAAATAAGATACCATGTTGACTTTATCATCACATTAAATATATTATTTCTATAAAAATAATAGAATAAGCAAAAAAATGACGATCTATGCTATGGTTATGCATATCTGTTAACAAAAGACAAATTAAAATGTTTAATTTTCAATGTTTATGAAAATGTTCGATAGATGAGTTTGCATACAAATATGCATAATTTTATAAAATCAACAATTACTTACGACAAATTTTGTTTTAAAAATTGAAAAATTCCATTTTCTTATCCCATCCATATTTCATCACAAAGAAAACAGCAATTTTATTTCCTTTTTTCACTTTTTTTTTTTTAATTCAAAAACTACGAAAATATAGACTAGACAATAAAATGACAAATTGTCCATTTGAATTTATCAAACTGATCATTGCTCCTGAAAAGATCTCATTGAAGCATAGAAAAAAATAAGCTCTAGAACAGAGGTTTATCGTATCAGATAAAATTCCTGAAGGATAAGCTTGTCATATCAGCAAGCAGAGAATTACTTTTTTTGATAAAAAGGAATGAATCCATCTTTCGTAAAAACTGACTTACTTGGACAATTAATTAAAAATGGACTAACGTTTCGACGTAGTATTTCCGAGTAAAAAACAACCATCCTTTCGCACTTCGATGTCAAATAGCTATGACAAACAAAGTACAACAGACAAAACGATCACAATACTAGTGATAATAGCAATGATAACAGTGATAATAATAATAGCAATAATAATGACGACAATAATAATAAATAATGATAATAATAATAATAATAAAACAATTAAGGATAGCGAAATTATATGGTACAATGAAGTACCAATTGCTTACGACAGCGAAATTGTACAAGTTTGGACTTTATCACTGTTATCACCGTATCGAAACTCAACGAAAAGGACAGAAGTAAAACAGTGATTTTCATTTGAGTTTGAAGAAGTGTCAGATTTCATTTTAACGAAAAATCTCGGCCAACGACCCGATCACTACGACCGACTGTTTGCCAATTGCAAATTTGTTGAATAGTGTAACGGCAAACATCAAAGATAATAATAGAATAGAAAGCTGACAGAAGTGTACATTCATGATAAGAAAGCAAGGGAGGGTAGGGTAAGAGAACTTTTGAAAATTTTCAAATCAATACTGTATAGTAAGTAACTACCAATGTCATTAGTTGGTGTTAAGATAAGCGATTGGAAGATAATGATATAATAGCAACAATTGTCCAATCTCCATTACAAATTGAGGTCAAAAGTTTAAGATTTGAAAAGATTTAGCAATCAGTGAAAAAGAAAGGTGATCATGTGAAGTTGTAAAGATTTTGTCAAAGATGTAAGCTCATCAATGACATTATCATTTGCAAAAGGTCACTTGATATCAAAGCATGTGCGGTCCATCTATTCGATGCTATGATAAACATAGCTATGAAGAGAAAAAAAATATTTCAATGATAACAAACCTTTAAAAGAGATGGCATTGATAATGGTGATATTGCAGGAGTGTTAAGGTGATGGAATAGAAGTGAACAGCAGCAAGTAATAAAATGAAGGGTAGCCTAGAAGGTCCTGCCTGTAGAGACGAGCTTATTTTGGTTCAAATAGGTCAGATAAACCCGGATCTACAGGGTGAACCATCCAAGAAAATGATGGACTTCTTCAATAGCAGATCAGCGATGAATTGAATGCATCATTTATCGATTTATTCAATCATTAGAACATGAAGGAAAAACCTGAAAATTAATTATAAAAATTATTGTAACGAATGAGATAATAAAATGACGACGTACTTTTTACCAAAAACAATTTAGTAAAAAAAAAAAGAAAAAATGTCATAAAAGTTTTGCAATGATTAAATGACAGACATGTCACAGCTCTCTCAAAAACAAACTTTATTCTCTCTTTCAGGTAATCCCGCATAAAGCAATCCCGATATTATACGACTAGAAATTTTGCTCAATAGTATTCATGGAATTAAATATTCCGGAATCATTAGAAATTTCTTAATGTCAAAAATCACTGTTATCACCTATAACAGTGGTAATAATCACTGCCATTATTATTACTAACTATTGTTATCACTGCTATTATTATTATTGCTATTACTATTACTAGTAACAATAAAAATGTTGTTATTGTCTGTCCAATTATAATCTGAAGTGATAATAAGCTAATAAGAGGAGCATCAATAAGGAAGAAAACAATGAAATGTATACATCTAATAACTGAGAGCAAGTTGTCTCAGACACCGATACGGGAGGAAATCGTTCGACAATGCCGACCGATGTTC